TCTGACTTTTTGCTGAATATGGCCATACTTTCTTCTTTATATTTCTCATTATTTCTGATTGAAAACTGGGTAATTTAGGTTACAGTGAGGCAACTATTCATTCTAATGCACTTCCTGATTCTTTATTATTTTTGTTTTACGTGTATTAGTGTATTGTCTGCATGTGAGTGTACCTGTGTCATCCAATGCCTCGGAGGTCAGAAGAGGGCGTCGGATTCCCCTGGAACTGGAGTTAAGGACGGTTTGTAACTGCCATGTGGGTGCTGGGAATCGAACCCAGGTCCTCTGCAAGAGCAGTCAGTGGTCTTAACTGCTGAGCCATCTCTCCAGCCCCACTTTTCTGATTCTTTTAGCTTGACTACATTAATTGGGCGATTTGTCCCCCCCACCTCCCAAAGGATTGCTGCATTTCTGCTCAGTTTCACATTTTTATTTTAATTTCTAATCTGGCTTCCCAGGGTCATTCACAAAGAGATTAGAAATCAATCAAGTCTCTTCTTCCTCAAGCCCAGAGCACCCCCAACCCAAGGCTTCCATGCTGGTAGAAGGCTCTGCTCACAAATGGAGTGACCCACTAGGGCCGCCCCAAGCTCACCTAGACCTCTCTCACAGTATGGCTGTATCTGGTTTTCCCTGCACATGGTGCTTCCCATCACCCAGGACTGGGTGACCTTTCCTTGCAGGGTTTCCACAGTAAATTTCTTCTCACCCCATCACCACTGAGTACCACAGTAAGAAACAAAGCTGCTGGTTTTTATGACCTGCTAAAGGTTTGGGAGTAGGAGAAGCCCCAGCAAGAAGGCCCCTGATTCCAATAGTTTTTATAGAAAGCTCTAGAAACCTCTTGAAAATCAAGTTTTCAGCCAGGCATGCTGGTACAGGCCTTCAATCCCAGCACTCGGGCAACAGAGGCAGGAGGATCTCTGTGAGATCGAGGCCAATCTGGTCTACATAGTGAGTTCCAGACCAGCTGAGACTATAGGGAGAGCCTGTCTCAAAAAAAGCTGGAAAAAAAAAAAAGTTGCAATTTCTTGACTGCTTTTGGTTACGTTCCAAAGCCCCCAAATGGTTATTTTTCACACTTTAGTTTGCTTTCTACAGGGAGGAGTCATGACCTCTTCATGAATGGCCAGCCAGATCCCCACCAATAGCTGAGTGTTTACTCCTAAATGTTTCAAGTATTTTATACACACTAAAGGTTGACATCAAGGGAAAATTTCAGCAAGAAAAACTGATGTCTAAAGAGGAAGAAAAGCTGGCCCATGCCAGTGATCTATTCAAGGCCAGTCTGAGTGACACAGTGAGTTCCAGGTAAGCTTGGGCTACATAGAAAGATACTGTTTCAAAAAGCAACAATAATTTTTTTTTAAAAAAATAAATGAATGAATACATAAATAAATACAAAAATAAATAAATAAATAATACAACAGAAAAAGACTTGGGAAGAGGGAAATCTTAATTCCTTAAGTAATAGCAATATAAACAGTTGACTTTAACCACCATTAGTATTTTTCAACACAGGCACTACTAATTACTAAGCACCATTCCAAGCAGAATACAGATGAATGAATCTAAGACTTCTCTAGCAATTAAGGTTGCAGGTGTGTTAATACTTTGAGGAGAAAAAACTTAATGATTCCTTAAAAATTTGAAAGACTAAGCTGGGCATGGTGATGCGTGCCTGTAGTCCCAGCACTTGGGAGGCAGAGGCAGGCAGATCTCTGTGAGTTCAAGGCCAGCCTGGTCTACACAGTGAGTTCCAGGACAGGGCTACAGGGAGACCCTGTAAAAAAAAAAAAAAAAAAAAAAAAAAAAAATTCAAAGACTAAACAAACTGTGTAAGTTTTAAAAAATAAAAACTTGGGGCTGGAGAGATGGCTCAGCAGTTAAGAGCACTGATTGCTCCTGTGCAAGACCTGGGTTCGATTCCCAGCACCCACATGGCAGCTACAAACCATCCTTAACTCCAGTTCCAGAGGAATCCAACACCCTCTCCTGACCTCCGCGGCATTGCACGACACGGGTGCACTCACATACATGCAGGCAATACACTCATACACATAAAATAAAAATGATACAGAGCTCCAAAACTCACAGGCTGGCTGTTCTTTGACATCTATGCATGTGCTGTGTATGTGTACCCTCACCTGCACAGGCACACAAAATAAATAAAAGCATAGAAAAAGTAATTGTAATTTTATCACAACCACCCCTTTGATTCAAGGAAAGTACCCCAAATCAGCTATGCTTAAGGGATTCACAGATGACATCATGGTTCTACCTATACAGATAGGGTTAAAGAGAAAATTACCGAAGGCTAATTTACATTACTTTGTTTCTAACTCTTTCAAAGAAATCATGTCACCTGTCACCATCTGTAGGGGAACCACACCCTTCAGAAGTGTAGGCATTTAAGAATATCCACCCATGTAGATGTGTATCAAGAAAGACTTGAGGCTATCTGCATCCACACATGCCTCACATATAATGTCTACAACAAAAAAATCTACCTTGAATTTGAACTCGCTAGGTAGACTAGGCTGACTTTGATTTCAGAGATTCACCTGACTCTGTCTTCTGAGTGCTGGGATTAAAGGTGTGCACAACCATGTCAGGCCTCTATCTTGAATTTTTTTTTTTTTTTTTTTTTTGGTTTTTTTGAAACAGGGTCTCCCTGTAGCCCCAGCTGTTCTGGAACTCACTATGTAGACCAGGCTGGACTTGAACTCACAGAGATCCGCCTGCCTCTGCCTCCCAAGTGTTGGGATTAAAGGTGTGCACCACCACGCCCAGCCTCTATCTTGAATTTTTAAGGGACTTGTTGGATATCTAGGAGACAAATTTAATCTACCTAATATGACATTCAGCCAAATATTTCAAATCACCAAGATTTCATTATTGAGGGTCAAAAATAGTGCACTGAAGTTAAAGTCTGTTGGACTTGGGAAAAAAAAACTTAAAAAAGACACAGCTGAAAATAATCACAGTTAAGACATCATTACAGAGCAAATTATTGGTATCTTAACCTCAAAAGGGCTAAAAGGAAGATTCCATTTTAGAAGCTAAAGCAGAAAACCAACTAAGGGTTCAAATGTTTGCCTTAAACAATCTATTAGCATTTAAAATTTTTTCCTTATCTCCAAGATAAATACTGTTGCAACAGATTATTAATTTACAGAGTGTGCTAAATTTTGACAATGTGCTATTAAAACCCTCTGGCTATACTGATAATCACATGATCTAAGTCTCAAGACAGGAGGGCAAAGTTCAGGTACTAACATTTTGTATTTCACTAGAATTAGTCAGGACACGAAGCATTTGGCTTTTGACATTTTTTAAAAATTTATTTTTATGAGTATGTGTATGAGTGTATGGCCTGCATGTATAAGTGCACCCGTGTCATGGAATGCCCACGGAGGTCAGAAGTGTCGGAGCCCCTGAAACTGGAGTTAGGCAGTTGTTAGCTGCCATGTAGTGGCTAATCCAGGTCCTCTGCAAGAGCAGCCAGTTCTCTTAGCTTTTGACATTTGTTAGCTTACTTCCTTCAAAATGTATTTCTGCCAGGCCCAACTCAGCCTCCCTAAACCCCCACCCCCGGCAACAATTGGCATGTGTGCATTTCTAACATGTATTTCTCATACTCTTACGGTCACCTGGACACATGTCTGTCTCTCATTCGACTGAATTTCTCAAGCCTTAACAGACATTCCCCTCCAGCTTCAAAAGAGAGTTCCCACCACAACCACCCAATTACCTGCTAATTGCACCTCTTCTCTCCACCCTTGCTCCAGTCCAGGTGAGAGTCTTTCCTACCTCAGAGCCCCTCCACTGGAGCTCTGATCCTACCAGGGGGTCAGACCTCTCATCTGCTGTCTTCTCTTGCTCTCCATCCAAACTGCCTTCCCCATAAGCATTTATACATGCTCTGGTCTCAACTTAACCCTTCTTCTTCCTCTTCTTCCTCTCCGAATGCTCTTTCCCCCTTTACAAGCTGGTTATTCAGCAGAGTTGTCTACAAACACTATCTTTACTTGCACGCCACCCACTCAACAATACAGCGATGACTCTCACCATTCCATCCACACTGTTCTAGAGAAAACCAAAAATCAGTTTCTGCTCCCTAAATCCAATAGCATTTTAAATTTTATCCCAGTAGCAAGTGCTTGTGGCTTTTGACATCTCCTGGCTTTTTGGAAATGGCCCCAGCCCTGACACAGTCATCTATTTTTTTTTTTTTTTTTTGTCTTTTTGAGACAGGGTCTCCCTGTAGCCCAAGCTATCCTGGAACGCACTATGTAGACCAGGCTGGCCTTGAACTCACAGAGATCCATCTGCCTCTGCCTCCCAAGTGCTGGGACTACAGGCGTGCACCACCACGCCCAGCCAGTCATCTATTTTTAAACAGTACCAATCACAGCTTCTAACATCTGAAAAGAGGTAGACTTTGAAAGACAGTCCCCACAGGTGGTACATGTGTTCATGTCATACACATTATTAATGAATTCATGACCTGCTCTATCTAACACGACAAGGCTACCAGATAGGTACTGTTTCAGAGATGAGAAAAATGAGATCCACAGTCAAAGTAATTTTATTAAAAGTCACACGTGAAGGGGGAAAATCATGACTCCAATTTTTATCTGTCAAGTTTAAAGCCCATTTCATCCAGTAATGCCATCACACGAAGAGTTAAAAATAGGGTCTACATTTAAGAAATAATAAAGATAAACTGATTATCTAGGAGAAAGACCAGAAGGCCAGTGTCGCATACTCTACCTCTGAATGGCAAAGAGGAAAAGTCTGGCTAAAACTTTTCTGACTCCTTTCATGAATAATCTTGAGACTCTTAAGTTGTTCATACTTAAAATTTCCAAGGCTCAAACTGAATCCCAACAGCAGACATCCTGAGCACGTGAAGACATTGGCTTCAGTAGTTCATCAGTCACTGCCACAAACAACACATGTGAGCCAGTTCGCCTTCTAAAGAAAAAGTCAGCAGCTGTTTGCTGAAAAAAGGTTTTTATTGTGGATAAAGACATGGCCAACTTACATACATCATTTTTATTTGGAGTATTAAAAATTTTTTTTGCCTTGCAGTGTTCCTGAGAAATTAAAAAATGCATTGACTTTTGCGCTATAAAACACAACTGAATCTTAAAGTGGGGTTGGAAATTTCTCACATTTAGTTATTTCTCTATAAACCAAAAAACAAATTTTCAAATTTAAATAATGAAATCATAATAAGTTAAAATATAAAGACTGGAAAATAATCACAAATGTCAGGACATTAAAATGATCATTATTTTTCCGTGTGTGTGTGTGTGTGTGTGTGCGTGTGTGTGTGTGTGTAAAACCTAACTTACCTGATATTTACAAAATTAAAGATAAATTTTTGTTGATGGACAATGTTTTAAATGCTTTGATATGTGAAACCAGACACTGTCAGGGCTGGTGCACCTGGCACCTTCTACACAGCTCACCTGTGCCCACATCCTCATGCACCCCCTCCCAGTTACTGATGGGCTAATAAGTATTTTATAGTCTTTCTGCCCCTGGGACCCACTGGAAGGCTGAAAGAAATTGAAGGCTCTTCTGGCGACATCTGATGTTCTAACTGACCAGCTCTAAGAAAGCCACTTCTTTTTGCCTAGGTATTTCGGTTTTTCCCCCACTTTAATAAAAAGAAGCAAACAAGAATGTTAGGTACTAAAATTCACAAAACCACACGATAGCATATTATACTAAAATCAACTTTGATGGCAGGGTAAATTTTCTACTACAGTATATTTAACTGAAGTTGAAAACCATTGAGACTGTTGTGAAAAATCGTGGCCGCTGAGGCAAAATTCAAGCACAAATTCTACTGAGTTCACAGAGCTATAAACAGTGAAGCTGCTGTAGTTACAACACCCAGTGTCCTGCCACTAACACCGACATCATGTGCCTCATCGCTCTCTTTACTAAGCATCCTTGAGCAGATGGTTCATCTCTGACACAACTTAGTTTCAGAAGTTGATGAGTTATGTCTGGTCAGGATCAACGCCACTTAGCATGCAAACAACAGAAACATCAGGTACTACAGCTTTCAGACAAGGTCATGGCTTCAATGGCAGCATTGTTATATCATGCTCTGTGAAGCCTGGATGTGTAGTCCACACATGACAGCTTTCAAACCAAGGTTAAGCAAAGGGGTGAGGGGGAACAGGCAGTTTTGGTCAGGAAAGGAAATACTCCAAATGTCATAAAAGGTATTTCAACTATGAAACACAATGCTTAAATATCCACCATGCAACTCCTAAAAATAAAACATTTTACACCTATTTCTTAAGAAAAAAAGAAAAAGGCCCATATATCTTTATTTTTAGCTTAGAAACTAGCCTTTCAGTTGCTCTATACTAAAATGCTCTATACAGCAAATAATCTAGGATAGTCAGTGAAAATATCTTTTTAAGGAGCATATAAAAATCTATAGTAATACAGATGATCCTCAGCTTACGACGGCCGTTTCCCTTTTACGTGGTGCCGAGCTGACGCATGTCAGGCAGAAATGGTGCTTAAGTTTAGAATTCCCCTTTTCCTAACGCTGGGCAACAATGGGGGTTGTAGGGATGCGCTCAGCAGAGGAACCCAGATCTCCACAGCTGCTGTGTTGCTAAGCCAGGGCGGCTGATAGTTTGGGTGTGACAAATGCATTTTGAATTCAAGATGTTTTTAATTCAGAATGGATTTATTCAGCTGTAAGTCCACTGTAAGTGGAAGAGCATCTGTAATGCCAGAGAGAAATCATAAAGGGAAAAACTGGGAGGAGGCAGCTTGACATTTCTAATGAGAACTTCTATGGTAATATTCTCTAAAATGTACCAAAGAAGGGCACTATAAATAAGTTAGTTAAGGAGACAGGTGGCATAAGGAAGCAGCATTATCTTGGTTACTTAATTTTTCAGAAAAAAATTTATAACTATCAACACATCATTAAAACTTCCAGTCTTCTAAATATATTAGAAATATACACTTCATCACAGGCAAATTTACAAACAACCCAATTTAGCTCTACCCAGAGCTGGGCCTATTTACAATTTGGATTAGTCTCGTTTTCACCTTTCCTTGCTATACAAATGTTTCTGTTTTAAAGGCTTATCTAAATTTACAAAATCTGCAAGAAATGACTTTTAAATGTACAATGCCAACAACCAGTACAAATATGAGCGTCTTGATACAATTAGGCTGCAAGTCAGGATTTTTTCTTTTATAATGGGTTTGTAAAAAAGTAAAGAAAGACTCTCTTCAAATTCCAAACACCTGGTGCTGGTGCTGTTGAGGTGATGTCACTGCAGTGACTTGGTGAGGACAGATAACCATGAATCCCTGCACCTCAGGTAGCCACACCTCAGACAGAGGCAGGAGGGGGCACGTCTAATGATATTGCTAATTTCAGTTTATGTGGATGCAGCTGTACAATGAACACATGAAGGAGAGTTCTGTGTATCCGTGGAGGAAACCTTTAGTTTTAGATGATCCTTTAAAGGGGCAGCTCAGCTCTTAAAGCTAAATGATACCATTTAGTTACAGCATGTACTGGACAATAAAAAGGAACAGATTACTGATCCACAAAACAACTTGGATGGATCTCAAAGGAATTATGCTAAGTGAAAACACCCATCTCAATAGGTCACACAATGTGTGCTTCCATTTATACAGCATTCGTGGAGGAACAACCAGAGAGGGTGACAGTTAGCAGTTGCCTGGGACTAAGGCGGGAGACAGCAAAGGTGGTTGTGGTTAGGAAAGTGCAGCTCAAGGGGTTCTTAGCATGGAAGAGTCGTGTATTGACTATGGTGGTCAGATGCATCTACACACAAGATAAAATTGCATAGAACCAAATATATATTTGATCTCAGGGCACCTATCAGCCTCCTTATACAAGGTCCTTGAAGGACGATAATGCACACTTCAGACCAATTTTCTGCTCTATTCAGGGAAGCCTTTATCAGGCCTTTTTTTGGGAGTAAATCTCTTATCTTTCAAAAGATAGACCACATCCCTCTGTCTTAAATTGAGCTTGAAATCAGAGAAGGAAATAAAAGACTGAGATTATATACACAGTTACTAGTCTTTCCTTTTTTAAATTTTGTAAATTAAAAAGTAAACCAAATGTTTCTAGTTTTAAATTAGGTAAAACCAGAAAAGGAAAAAAAGCAGATTACATAGCAGATAATTGTTCTTCTGACACCTGCAACTTCTAAAAGCATTGAGAATGTTTTTATTAACAGAAAAATTACAACTACAAACAAATACATGACTTCTTCCAAAAGGCCACTTTGTGATAAGTTATATAATATAGTGTTCATGGTTTCCTTAAAGTGCTATAGTCTCTGGCTTGAGAATTACCTATTGCTTTAGAAGGTCTTTTAGTACAACACCAGCACTGTTGTCAGGTGATACTGGTAAAGGTGTAAATGTGGGCAGAACATCTGAGATGGGCTTCAAAAGAAGATGCCCAGGCCCACCAGGTCCAAGTCCAGCTGGCTTAATCAGAGGCACAGCTGCAGAGCGGGGAGCCAAGAATGAATTCACATCTGCTCTTCTTCCAGTTCTGGATTCTGCTGTATCTAAATAAGAAACAGATTATTTAGTCTTTATCCATCATAAAGAAGCTTAAATGCAGTAATTCCCTGAATACAATATAATAACAAAGCCCATTTCTATATATTATCAAATTTGTTAACATAATTGGTTTGTTTGTTTTGAGACAGGGGCCAAGCTGGCCAAGAACTCCTTAAACAGCTGAGGATGACCTCAAATTTCTGATCCTCCTGTCTCTCCATCCAATACTGTGCCACCAGGCTCAGTCTTTAATACAGGTATTTGAGAAATCAATTTATTACTACTATTGATTTTAAAATTCCACCTGCTGGTCATAACACCACTATTCAGCTTAGGTTTTGGGCTGTTTGTTCAAAACAAGAGCACCAACAGATCCCTAAGGCCTAAACATAAAACATTAATTTGTGAACCAGCAAGATGGTTCAGTGGGTAAAGGGGCCTGATGCAAAGCCTGTAAGCCTGATGGCCTGAGTTCAATCCCTGAAACCCACAAGGTGGAAGGAGAACCAATTCCCGCAAGTTCTCTGACCACCATAAGCATACAGTGGCATGCATACACCCAGATACATACAGACATGTGCATCAAATAAATAAAAGATAAGGAATACTAATTGTATTTTTCCTTTTTATGATTTTTTATTTATTTATTTATTTATTTTATTTTTATTTTTATTTTATTTTTTTGAGACATGGTCTCCCTGTAGCCCTAGTTGGCCTGTAATTCTCTTGTAGACTAAGCTGGCCTCAAACTCATGGAGATCTACCTCCCTCTGCCTCCCAAGTGCTGGGATTAAAGGCGTGCATCACTGCACCTGGCTTAATTTTTATTTTATGTATATGAGTATACTGCCTGCATGCATGTAGGTGCACCTGTGTCATGCAATGCCCACATGGCATCTGACAACCATCTGTAACTCCAGTTCCAGGGACTCCAAAGGCCTCTTCTGACCTCTGTGGGTATTGCAGGACAGGGGTGCACTTACATGCAGTCAATACACTTACACACATAAAATAAAATATTTAAAAAAACACTAAAAATGAAACATTCAAATTTTTAACACTGAAGAAAAACCAAGTATCTAAGTTTACCTGGTGTATTTGTATCAAGTTTTCTTCTTCCTGGTGAATCTAGAGGCTTCAAGTCACGAACAGATAGCTTTGGTGGTGGAACAGATGGATGAGATTCTGTTTCAAGAAATTTAACAAAAAGTTCTGAAAAAGACTAAGAAAACATATTTTGGTTATCTTAGAGTAGGGTGTATAGAATAATGTAAAAAGGAATTTCTTTGCAAATGAGTGTGCTATACAATCATTTCATCGTCCATATTCAGCAAGAATAAAACTGGTCCTTACACTATTGAGCACAGACTGCTGATTTGGCCTCAGAGGTGTACTGGGCACACTTTTTGATCCTCCTCCAAGCCACCCCGTCATCCACCTAGCAACACCTCCTTGATCTTCATTAAACAGCTGCAAGATTATTTTAAAACAGAGAAATAAAGGAAAAAATTAGAACCACTTTATGTGATTTCAGATAACAGTAAATTGTGCTTTTAAGTTCAAATCCTAGTAAATGTTTTCTAATACTGACAGTGGCTACAGATAGAACAAAATGCTGCTCCTAACACAATCTCAAATAAATGTTTTGGGCATAGTTATATCTCAAAATTTCAATAATCTGAGAACTGGTTTATAGATTGTAAAATATTTAAATGAATATATAAACTGAATAAATCAACCTCTCTGAGAAAACTGGATTGAGCATGTTACATACAGTAAAAGGAAATCACTTTCTATGATACCCCTATATTATAAATGTATTTAGATCGCAACTCAGAATGTAGCTCAGTGGTAGATGTCTGCTTTGCATGTGAGAGACACTGGACAATTTCTTCTACCCTTAGTGGAAGAAAGGAAGAAGGAAGGACCAAAGGAAGGAAGGGAGGGAAGAAGTGAGAAAGGGAAATGGGGATGGAGGGAAGGAGGGGGTCACAGTGGCTTACACTGTCCAGTTACCTGCTCCATTTCCTCCCTTTTAACACCCAGGATGCTTCCCATTAGTCGTAGCACTTCATGACGCTGATTTTTTGGCGTGTGGAAATGACCAATGAAGAGGTTTCTCATGAGGACTCTAGGAAAAAATGAAGGCAGAAACAACTCAAGCCAACACCATGACCAATGTAACACACAGAGTGTATTTAATGAGATATTTAATTATAAAAACACTGAATAATAAACTATTTTAAAGTAGCTTTTAAAAAAAAGTCTAATTAGGAATATTTCAGACAACCCCATATGCATGCTTTTTCAAGTATCACTTGTCAGCCGCCCATGACTTCAGTCCAATCACCCATCTGAGGAGTGCCTCATAAGTAATTCTCAGCACCTAACTGGGGTGGTTCTCACCTGAAACAGACACATAAATGGTGATAACTGCTACACACCCCCAAACATATTTACCAAAATTCTTCTAATATTCAAATTTAAAAAATATTAAATGATTTATTATTCCATATGTAACTAGGTTTTAGACCTAATACATGTAAACATGTTAGATATGTTCATTTATGAACAGTAAAGACAGAAAAAGAAAGCCAAAACCTTTCTTTTCCAAATATTTCATATTGGAGTTATGTTTTAACTCTTCCATATGGTTTAGAAAAAAGGAATAATTGGGGGAAATAGACTTTAAAAAATAAAAGAAGGGAAGTTACTCTACTGCCTGTCATGAAAGTTTCCAATATATTTCATTATATAAGAAAAACAAAGGCTTCTTAAAAATGTAATCACATAGAAACACTTAAATGTAGATAAGCTGTCCTGCTACATAAAGCATAGTAAGTTAAGAGACAAAAGCATACTTGTCCACTTTTCCTTCTGTGCTGTTTACTAAGTTCATCAGTTTCTTTTGTGCATCGTCCAACATTTCTTGTCGGAGCTCATCTGTTTAAAATAAGTGAAGACACCATTAACTGACTGGTCTGGGTAAATGTGTGGTGAGGCTTAGATCTTTACTGCGAACTGTGAATAGACGCCCTGTTCTTATGAGGAACACTCAATTACTTCCATCTCATCTTTGCTCCGGAACTAGGCTCTCTGGTACAGAAATTACCTAGAAGCCAGAGGCTGCATTATTCCACATGGTTTGCCCCCGGTAAAATGATCAGTTCCTCAACAAAAAATTTAAAAAGCAGAACAGGTTTCCATCCTCTTTGGAAACTTACTAACAAAAAGCAAATTTTCACCACTTGCATGATGTATTTTCAGACTAGAAAGGACAACTTTAGGTTTCCCTGGTTCTATTTTCCTGCCTGAGCTCCTTCTGGTGAGCTACAAGAGTCTCTAACACAATGGCTTAAGACACAGCTGATGGGGCAAAGTATTCTGGGGAAAAGAAATTGTGAAACACAATTATGACCATGAGCTCTAGCATCCTAATCATCATACAGTAGCCTATGACTGACTTAGAAGGATCTTTAGGCTACTTAAAAATTCTCACTTAAAAATAAGCAAAACCTGTAAAATTATGGTGAAATAGTTGGAATTTGGGCAATTTTAAAAGCAAAGTTTAGCTGGGCATGGTGGTGCACGCCATTAATCCCAGTGTTCAGGAGGCAGAGGCAGGGGGATCTCTGTGAGTTCAAGGCCAGTCTGGTCTACATAGTGAGTTCCAGGCCAGCTGGGGCTACAAGGAGACCCGGCCTCAAAAACGGGAAAGTTTAGAGATGCTTTGTTCATAAGTTAATCATGTCAAAGGATCAAGACTCTTGGCTAAAGAATGTGTCAGTGGGAGCAGGCCCTTCACAGCTGTTACTCAGGAGGTAGTCTGGAGCTCCATGGGGACTTTATCATTTAAATTAGAGTGCAAGTTTTTAACCTGAAAGCATCAATGAGGAGACTACAGGTAAAAGATTCTACTTTTCAAATCAGGAAAGACACTAGTCTTCACTTTCTTTCCACAATCCTTTCTTTGACTAGTGGTGGCTATGTAGTTCCCTTATCAGATATTATGACTTGCACATATTTCTCCCATTCTGTGGGTTGTCATTTTTCTTTCCTGTTACCTTTTGAAACATGAAAGTTTTTAATTTTGATGAAGTCCAGTCTATTTCTTATCTGCTGTCTATGTTTTGGTGTTGTATACAAGATGCTATCACCACCAGCCAGGCATGGTGGCACACGCCTTTAATCCCAGCACTTGGGAAGCAGAGGCAGCCGATCTCTGTGAGTTGGAGGCCAGTGTGGTCTACATAGTGAGTTCCAGGGCAGCTGGGGTTACAGGGAGACTGTCTCAAAAAGACCAAAAAAAATAAAGATACTATCACTTAGCCCAGTACTGTGAAGATTCACTCCTATGTCTTTTCTAAGGGATTAGAGTTTTGACTATAAAATTTAGAGCCATGGTTCAAACTGGGTTCATTTTTGTGTACAGTATGCAGTAGGGGTCCAACATGACTCTTTTGCATGGGGATAGCCCGCTGTTCCAACAAAAGAAGAAACCCGTTCTTTCTGTACCACTTTGAAAATCAACTGACCATCACCGGATGGTTTATTTCTGGACTCCTGTTTCCCACAAATTCTCACATTTTCCCTCTGCCTGACGCACTCTCATCTATTGGAGCTGTTCTGCTGCCTCCCAGCTGATCTTCATGCTGCAGTTCCTTAACCTCACACATGTCCTCTGAGGCAGATTAGGTCTCTGTGCTGTTTTCAGTCCATCGTGTACAATGCCAAAAATGCCAATTTACAGTACTAAATGCAGATTTAAAGGTTTGCAATGGCTGTGGTTTTCTAAATTACAAAATGTCATTCATATAATAGACTAACATTACCAAAATAGAGATGGTTGCTATAACCATATTATAAAAGCAAGGTTTGTGTTTGGAAAATCTCCTTCAAACTTTTCCTTTCCTGTCTTTCCAATAAGGAATTTAAAGTTGGATATAAAAGGTATGGGGGACTATTACTGAAGTCTGAATCAGTAAAAGACATTTTCTCTTGGATTCTTCAAGTGTATTTTTCGACTATGGGCATGTGTTGCTGTTTGGACCTTTTCCTAGCACTGCATTCTGGATGGGAGCAGCAGAACAGCAATAAATAAGCAAGTTCTCTGAAAACCGTCACTGCTCTGTTAGATGTACAAGTTAAAGCAGGAGTCGGAGTAGCAACAGGCAGCAAGGCCTTCCTTTCCAGCCCCTCCACTCCTGCAGGACTACAAGAAGGTAGCTAAGAAACAGGCTGAACTCCACTACTCTATTCCCACCTTCCCTTTCCTTCTCTCTCTGTGTGTGGATTGCACACCTGCCTGTGCACACATTCTGAGGCAAGAGGAGGGGCATTACCTGTCCTACTCTGTAACTCTGCCTTATTCCCTTATTCACTGAACCTGAAGCTTGGCTGAAACCAGCAAGTCCTGAGATCCTCCCACCTCCAGCTCCACAGTGCTGGGGTTACAGGCACAAGGGCCACCACGCCCAGTTTCTTACATGAGTGCTGGGATCTAAACTCTGACTTTAGGTTTGCACAGCAAACACTTTTATCTATTTAATTCTCTCTCTAGCCCTGCTACCTTCTTTTTCTATAATTGCTTCTATGATTAATAATTTTATACTGATTATATTTCTAAATGATAATACATAATATAAAGGCAATACACTCGTACACATTAAAAATAAAGAATAATAAGTAAAAAAATTGTTAAATGAGCTGGGTATTGTGATTTGCACCTGTAGCCCCAAGTACTCAGGAGGTCAAGGCAGAAGAATCACTTGAGCCCAGGAGTTTAAAGGTAATATAATGATATTTATCTCAAAATATACCAAACAAAGGACTTGCAGGATAAACATCTCCAGAATAAAATTCACAAAGCAAAGATTATGATATAAATAATTTTAATAAATTAAGTTATAAAATCAAATCATCCTAAGACCAAAATGACAGGATTAAAATTGTCTTAAACTAGAGACTGGAGAGATGGTTCAGCAGTTAAGAGCACTGGCTGCTCTTGCAAAAGACCAGGGTTTGGTCCCCAGCATCCAAATGGCAGCTAACAACTGTCTATAAAACCCCAGATCCAGGGAATCTGATGCCTTCTTCTGACCTCATAGGCATAGCATGCATATGCACTTACATACACGCAAAACACTCATACAGATAAAATAAAAATCAACATAGTTTTAAAAATGTCTTAAACTTGCTGGGCGTGGTGGTGCACGCCTTTAATCCTAGCACTTGGGAGGCAGAGGCAGGCGGAGAATGGGGGCTGGAAAGATGGCTCAGCAGTTATCTTTTCTACAGAGCAAGTTGAGAGCAGCCTGGGCTACATAAGACCCTATTTCAAAAAACAGAAACAGGATTGGTAAGTTGGCTCAGTGGTTAAATCACATGCCACATAATCCTGTCACCGTGTGTTTGAACCCAGGATCCTACAATGGAAGCAGAGAACTAATTCCTGAAAGTTGTCTTCTGACCTCCACAAGCACTCATATACACACAGTTTTTAAAAACAGATTCTGGGCATGGTGGCACATGCCTTTAACCCCAGCACTTGGGAGGCGGAGTGTGAGTGTGAGTTCAAGGCCAGCCTGGTCTCATAGTGAGTTCCAGGACAGCTGGGGCTACAGGGAGGCCCTGTCTCAAAGAGACCAAAAAAATAAAATAATAAAATAAAACAAATAAATATTTTTTTAAAAAAGAATAGGGCTGGAGAGATGTTTCAGCGGTTAAGAACACTGGTTGTTCTTGCAGAAGACTCGGGTTCAAATCCCAGCACCCACATGGAAGCTAACAACTGTCTGTTACTACAGTCCCAGGGGATCTGACAGCCTCTTCTGACCTCCACGGGCATTGCACAACATGGCATGAGCATTGCACAACATGGGTGAACATGCAGGCAATACACACATACACATAAAATAAAAATAATAAAATTAAAAAAAACAAAAAACCAATTGAGTGTGGGGTCCTATTTGCAACCTTAAAAATAATTTTGCAAAATTATTTTATTTAATTTTTAATGTGTGTGCCTGTCTCAAAAAAATAAACTTAAATTAGATGGTCTTTTGTGTATGTATGGATGTATGTGGCATGCATACATGGGATGTATATGTATGTACATATGTATGTGTGGAGGAGGTGTCTTGATTGCTCTTGAACTTATATTTTGAGGCTAGGTCTCTCACTTGAACCAAGAGCTCATAATTTGGCTTCTCTAACTAGCTAGCTTGCTCTGGGAATCCCTCGTCTCTACCTCCAGGCACTGGGATCATTGCCACCTGGTATTTATGTAGGTGCTAGGGATCCAAGTTCTGTTCCTCTTGCTTGTGTGGCAAGCACTTTACCCACTGAGTCATTTCCTCAGGCCCCAGATGGTCTTTTTATTATAGCATTTCAATTTATACAAGATTATTTTTTTATCAATTTTATCACTAAATTATTATTAAATATTTATTTTTTTAATCTTATTTGCCTGCATGTAGGTTACGTGCACCCGGGTTGTGCAATGCCCTCGGACTACAGAAAAGGCTGTCGGATGCCCTGGAACTAGAGTTACAGGCAGTTGTTAGATGCCATGTGGGTGCTGGGATTGGAACCCAGGTGTTCTGCAAGAACAACCACTGTTCTTAACCACTGAGCCATCTCTCCAGCCCCTAAAGATTTATTTTTAAAAGTGTGTGTGTGTGTGTGTGTGTGTGTGTGTTTGTGTGTACGAGCACATGAGTGCAAGTGTCCACTGAGGCCAGAAGAGGAAGTCAGATGCCTTGGAGTTGGACTTACAGCCAGTTGTGAGTCAGGTAATACGGGTGCTGGGAACTGAACTTGGGTCCTTTGGAAGAGCAATGCATGCCCTTAACTGCTGAGTCCACTCTCCAGCCCCTAAATGATATATTTTTTAAAAAAAGAATATCACATCTATTTATAATATGAGTTAGCATCTGTTTTGT